ATGTTAAAAGGTGCAATATGAAAAAAAAAGTCACTCTCTCCCTCCCCACTTCGGAACTTGGTAAAAAAAAAAAAAAGGACATAGAAAGGAAATCAAGCACAGCATGGCCTCAGAGTCTCTGTATAATGAGCAGCCTGGTAGAAGGACACAGCACCCTTCTCCCCAGATCTGTGATTCGAGAGACAGGCATACTTTAAGTCTCTGTTCGCCCAAAAGCCTGCTTGACAAACCCTTGTGACTTTGAAGGGTCCTCCTTCCTTATGTGGTCAACTATGATGGAGAAGGAAAACAGTGAATGTTCAAAGATTGTAGAAAAAGTTTTGGACCCAGCATTCTTGTATCCCAAGTGGTACAATCCAGAATTTAAAACAAAGGGAAAGAGAACTTTAAAAACCAAAGCAATTTGAAAAACTAGCTTACTCAGAGAGAAGCTGTGAAACAAAAAGGAAAAAAAAAAAAGGAAACTAAATGACTGGTGGGCTTTCTGCAGAATACAAGCAGTGGCACTGTTGTTCTAGTGGAATTTCTTAAGAACGTGAAACCTGGAATGAACACTCAGGTAGGAGTGCTTTCTCCCCACCCTACTCTTCCATTTAACCAAGTAGCTGTTCCTGCTGTTTAGATGCTGTAAGAAAAACCTCAAGAATCCCAACTAACTCAGGTAATGAAATCTGCACATCACCTGCAATTAATAAACCATTCTAAAAACAGAACAATTGGACTAAAACCATCTTTTGGAGAGGAATCAAACCTACTTTGATGCTTCACAGCAAACACGAATGTCTCAAAGAGACAGTTCCATTTGTTTTAAATCAGGGAGATCTGTTAAAACCAGAGCAGTCAGTGAGGCAGTCGCTGTCCAGCACCTGAGAATTCTGTTGCATGACTGATAGCTGGTGTTACACTGGTTTTCTCGGTTTCTGTTAAGCAGCCTCTTTTTTCAGAGCAGTTCCACTGAGCATGATGCTGAGTGCAACAGCTTACTGTATTCCAGCAGATTGTCACACCTCTTAAAAGTGCAAAAAAGCAGTGAGAGAGATTTAAGTTAAGGGGGATTAACTTCAAGCTTTTTACCAACTAGTATCTGAACTCAACTCTAGCCTCAGAATGTGTGGGTGTGTTCGACTACAACCCCTTCAGCTGTTAGCCAATATAGGCAAGAAATTTAAAAGCTATAACTGAGAGCCATCAGGTTGTGAAAAGGTGACAAAATAAATTGCTCTCTCTGTACAGGATACCCACCTCTCAAGGAATACAGAAAGAATTAGCACCGCTTTCAAACTTTTAGAAGTTAACCTCAGGTCAAACCTGTTTAAATTTTGCATTAAGAATGCCCACTATCCTTATGCAGCACATTGATTATAAACTGATACAGCCAAACTATGAAAAATCATTTATAGGGATAACTAGGAAAACAGCCACACTAAATACAGAATAGTAAGCACAGTGCCTTCATGGGTTGGTTTGTTTTATTTATATTTATATTTAAAAAATATAAATAAATACAAATAAAAAAGTCCTTTGAGTTAAAAGGCTCCTGATTTCATGGGCATAGCCATGTAGTTTTCTTGGCACCAATGTGTGTGGGCAATCACCATCATTCTGAATGCATACATGAAGGCCTTTTTATGTTCTTTTGGCTTCCTTTAGGAAGAAGCCCTTCACAGATACATAGCATTATGCTCAGACAAAGTTACAGGTTTTGCTGCGCATGGGACACCAAGAGCTACCAGGCAAATTACAAAACAGGCCAAGTTCTGTTCACCTCATTCTAAGCTAGCCAGTGCCCTTAATATTTGAGCATTAATTCTGGGTTACTAAGGAGCCTTAGAGTCATTCTTAAAGCCGTATTCTCCCATTTAGAGTGTTCTGAAAGGCTTTATAATTCATGAGCAAACAACCTATTGGCCTATCCTTTACACCAGTGTTGTCCAAACTTGGCCACTTTAAGATGAGTGGACTTCAACTCCCA